AACCGCTGTTCTCTGCGTTTGTAATAACATCGTGAGTCACTGCGGGATCGTCTCAAGAACTGGCCATTTTTCGCTCCAAGCTCCAAAGCTGCAAAAAAATGGGGTGCTCATGTATCTTATGTCTGTCGGTTGTGCCGTTCTTTTTAATTTTCTTTTTTAATTAATTTTAATAAAAATATACTTAAAATAAAGCACATGCAGCGAAACGAAAGCAAAAAGCTCTCTCATGAGGCGTAAAGAATTCTTATGTAACAGTAGCAAATATCTGAAGTGCTATCGACACGTTTGCGAATCTCCTGGACTGATAAAATTGCAAATTTCGAGGTACTCCATCATGTGAGCAAAGAACATTAAAGATATAAAACACTTGAATATTTTGCATATGTGAGATAACCGCAAAGTCAGCTGTTGCAGAATATTATGGTAGGAAAAATCCAGGGAAAACAAAGTCAGGTAAGGAGGAATGAACCTCCTGGCTTTAAAACCTCAGAGAATGATTTGAAACGTCATAGATTGAATACTTTTTGGGACTGCCGAAAAATAATCTTACCTTTCTTGGGTAAGTGCCTGTACCAGACTCGTCGATGTTAATCGCAGGTTCCTTCCGCACCGTCAAGTCCAACGGTTCACTTTGGAATGAACCGCTGTTCTCTCCGTTTGTAATAACATCGCGAGTCACTGCGGGATCGTCTCAAGAACTGGCCATTTTAGCTCCAAGCTCCAAATCTGCAAAAAAATGAGGTGCTCATGTACTCTATGTCTATCGGTTGTGCCGTTCTTTTTAATTTTCTTTTTTAATTAATTTTAATAAAAATATACTTAAAATAAAGCACATGCAGCAAAACAAAAGCAAAAAGCTCTCTCATGAGGCTTAAAAATTCTTATGTAACAGAAGCAAATATTTGATGTGCTATCGACACGTTTGCGAATCTCCTGGACTGATAAAATTGCAAATTTCGAGGTACTCCATCATGTGAGCAAAGAACATTAAAGATATAAAACACTTGAATATTTTGCATATGTGAGATAACCGCAAAGTCAGCTGTTGCCGAATATTATGGTAGGAAAAATCCAGGGAAAACAAAGTCAGGTAAGGAGAAAAGAACCTCCTGGCTGAAAAACCTCAGAAAATGGTTTGAAACGTCATAGATTGAATACTTTTTGGGGCTACGGGAAAATAATCTTACTTTTCTTGGGTAAGTGTCTGTAACAGACTCGTCGATGTTAATCGCAGGTTCCTTCCGCACCGTCAAGTCTAACGGTTCACTTTGGAATGAACCGCTGTTCTCTGCGTTTGTAATAACATC